ACCCCTGTGTCCCTCCCATGTTTCTGTAGCTCAGGCTTTGCCAACAGTCCATTTTCTGTCTGGAGAGTCACTAATTGCTGGTGTGATGAGGCTCCTCGGGAACCCCACCGTCTCCAAAGTGTCAAGTTCAAGGTCAGCTGTTCGGAATACGTGGGCACTGGCTCCAATCTGGGCGGTGTCATCTTTTTAAAAAATATATATTTTATTGATGTTTTTTAGAGAGAAAAGGGAGAGATAGAAACATAGATGTAAGAGAGAAACAGAGATCAGCTGCCTCCTGCACGCCCCCTACTGGGGATCGAGCCTGCAACTTGGGCTGTGCCCTGACTGGAATCAAACCAGGACCTCTCAGTGCATGGGATGATGCTCAATCCACTGAGCCACACCGGCGGGCTGGGCGGCGTCATCTTGCTCCAGGGTTCAGAGAGAGAGAGAGAGAGTGAGTCACAGAGTAGGTTTAAAGAAATGGCAACGGTCGTTGTCATATTGTATCTCTGTGATCTGTGACCTTTGTGCATTTCTCTAGGAGAGGCGCTGGCCCCCAACAAACCCTCAGTACATAGCTGCTTCGTTAAATGAGACACAGTTAAAGCCATTTGCAGACAGGAGCATCTGCTAACCCAGCAGATCACTGTGCCATTGGCTGGGCCCACGGCCTCCACCTGAGCACCCAGGTAGAATGTTCTGAGACGGAGGGTCTGCTCCAGGCCTCTCCCCGAGTGGCAGGGGTTTGCTGGCCGTCGCTGGCTTTCCTTGGCTTGCAGAAGCATCCCCAGACCCCTCCCTCCGTCTTCACATGCGCTCGCTCTGTGGCTGTGGCCAGATTCCCTGTTTCACAAGGACGCCAGTCATATTGGGTTAGGGCTCAGCCTCCTGACTTCACTGGAACTTGATGACCTCTGTAAAGGTCCCTATTTCCAAATAAAGTCACACTGAGGTACCTCGGGTTAGGGCTTCACCATCTATTTTTGGGGAGGACACAGTTCAACCCATCACATTCCCCAAGGGTCAAGACTCCTGCCCCTTTCTTCTCTGGGCCCCAGGGCCAGGCCTCATACGAATGAAGGCAGGAAAGGTGTGGAGAGTGTGTGTCTTGTTTTGGTAAATCTACACGTGCACCTGTGTCACTGGCAGTCAGCGGAGGCAGCATAACACAGGGGTTAAAAGCAAGACTCTGGAACCAGCCTGCTGTGCAACCTTGGGCAGGATGCTAAACCTCTCTGAGCCTCCATGTCTAGATACAACAGGGGAAGCTAACAGCATGCACCCCAGAGGATGTTAGGAGCATTGAACTATTGCTATTTGTAAAGCATCTGGAGCCATGCCTGGTGCCCAGTTAGCACCATGACAGTGTTCACCGCACAGTCATCAAGTCAGCATGGTTTCAGCCTAAGGGCAGCCATACAGATCAATGGAACAGAACAGAGCCCAGAAATACGAAATATGTCAATGTAAGGTAGTCTTTATAGCAAATGGTGCCATAAAAAATCGGTATTTACGTGGGAAAAAAATGAAAAAATGCTTATCTCATGGCGTATACAAAAGTTGACTCCGAACGGATTAAAAACTAAAACAAAGAAGCTAACACCGTGAAGCTTCTAGCCCTGGCCAGAGTGGCATCGTCGATGGTGTTATCTCACACACTGAGCTGTTGCAGGTTGATTCCCGGTCAGGGCACATACCTAGGTTGTGGGTTTGATCCCTGGTGGGGGCACATTTGGGAGGCAACCAATTGATGTTTCTCTCTCTCTCTCCCTTACCCTCTCTCTAAAATCAGTAAAACATATCCTCAGGTGATGATTTTTAAAAATTATAAAACTTCTAGAAGGAAACACGAGAGGAAGTCTTTGCAACCTAGGGGTAAGCAAAGATTTTTTTAGGTAGGACACAAAAAGCATGAATCATTTTTCAAATGGGATCAACTGAATTTCATCACAATTAAAAGCGGTGACTGTCTGTAAGCCTTGGTTTAGGGAATGAAAGCTAAGCCAGACTGGAAAACATTCACAAAGGACACATGTCACGGGGACTTGAAGATAGAATACGTAAAGATCTGGAACTCAAAATAAGACCAACAACCCACTTGCAAATGAGCAAAAGCCTTGAACAGACACATTGCAAAAGCAGATATCGAAAATACCAATAAACAGATCAAAAGAGGCTGGATGCCACTCGTCATCAGGGGAATTCACACAGAAGTCCACAAGGAGACACCAGTCTTCACCATGAGGATGACCAAATGGCAAATAACACCACGTGCTGATGAAGATACAGAGTGGCCGGGCTTCCCTGTGTGCCTGCCGGGCATTTAAAATGGTACGACCCTTTGGAAAACACCAACAGCTTCTTATAAAATGTCTACCTGTACAACCCAGCCATTCTTCTTCCAAGCATTTACCCAAGAGAAACCGAAGCACACATCTACACAGAGCCATGAACACTGATGTCCAAAACAACTTTATTCATAAGAGCCCAAACTGGAAGCAGCCAAACGCCTGTCAACTGATAGATGAAGAAACAAACTGGTATATCCATTCACTGGAATATTACTCAGCCCTGAAAAGGAATGAAGTACTCCTGGTGTATGCAACAGGGGTGACCCTCAAAGGCACAATGACCATCTACATGGAATTCGAATCTAATCTGGACTGGTCTGACCAATAGGGATGGAAAGTACTTCAGTGGTCGCTGTGGTAGGTAAAGGGCCCAAGGGAACCTGGAGTGAGGGGGACACTGGGTGTCTTGATACGCTCATGGTTTTATGGGTGCATAACTGTGTCGAAACATACCAACCTGCACAACTAAAAGGGTAAATTTTATTGAATCTAAACATCAATAACGTTGATTTTTAAATTGTACCCTCCCCCATTTTTTTACCATTATTATTATCATTCTACCAGGTGTCCTAGCACTGTGGGGTGGCAGTGGGTGTGAGGTAAATGGCTGCTGATGGATGAATGGCCAAGGCTCAGGAGTCCTCAGAGGGCTTTCTTGGGAGGACCCAGAGGCTGACAGTTGATCTCCAGATGACATCGGTAACCTTCAGAGACTGCTGTTCCCCTCGAGTTACTGTCCTCACTGATGCTTTTAATGCTGAGTGGAAACGCCAGGTTTAGACTGATCCCTTTCAACAGGCTGGGACTTAGAGGAGACCGTGGAGGTACAGCACACAGCAGGGTGCAAGGAGCCTGCAGACTGGATTCTGTTTCCCACGAGGGTGGGGAGGCTTGTTTCCATCTCCTCTTTTTCATCCCAGCCAGTTCTTTGTGATCCTAGACCATCTTTCGAAACTGTCTCCAAATCGGGGGAACGTGTCCAGCACCACGCTGGCTCCGGTTACTGGTTCATCCGTAGACTTCGGGGAAACGACACCCCCCCCCCCCACAGCTCCGACGGTCACGGGGTGAGACGGCTTCTCAGCCGGCCTGGCTCTGGGGTGCACTGCGGCTGCAGTCGATGGAGGAGCTTTTGAAGAAACCAAACAAGCCCGAAACAAAATGTTTTAACTCAAAACACGGACGTCAGTGACAAGTCTATGTCAATCTCAGTGTAACAGTGTGATGCCCGTCAATCTTGGTGGCGGCCTGGGTGCTCGGGGTCCGCCGGGGACGGTGATGCCTGTCGCGGTCAGTTCCCAGTCATTTCTGCGCTGTCACTGGGGCCGCCAATCAAACTCCCCGAGACGTTATGAGACAAACTGCACGTGTTCTGTTATGGGCAGCCTCTGCCTTCAGGGCCCCTGACTGTGGGCTCTGCCCTCTCAACCTCTGTCCTTAGTGACAGCAGAACACGGGCCACACGGTGATGCACATTTGCCAGGGGTGCTGGACATCACTGGACACAGAGAAAAAGATTTGTCATTTTGGGAGGTAGAAATCTGCATCTCCATGCTTAGGCAAGTCAATCTTTTAGTCTTTTTTTCAATCCTCACCTGAGGATATGTTCTTCAGATAGATTGCGAGGGAGGGAGGGAGGGAGGGAGAGAAAGAGAGAGAGAGAGAGAGAGAGAGAGAGAGATATGCTCTAACCACTGAGAAACCAGCCAGGGCAAGTCTTTTTTTTTTTAAGGCTCATTGTGGAAAACTTGAAAAAGGCTGACCAATAACAAGTAAAATAACAACCACACGAAGTGGTAACCCCCACCAGAGCTAGCCGTCATAGGCTCTTTCCAGGGTTCTCTTTCTATGACATGGCCGGGGAGGGGAGGCACGCACCCCCCATCCAGGCAGCCTGTGGTCCTCGTTTCAGAGAGGGGCCCTGGGGCTGAGGGGCGGGAAGTCCCATGCCAGCGTCACCCATCTGGAAAGTGGAAGACGGATAGAAGACCCAGGTCAGCCTGTCTCTGAAACTTGGCTGTAACCCTGTTCAGGTCGTTGGCGTTTGAAGGACCTCAGAGACCGGCCTGCGCTGGCCCCGCTGAGCGGCAGACACAGGGGCCGAGAGCGGGGTCAGTGACGGTCCCACCGCTGCAGGAAGCTGGGCTGGACACGGCTCCGGGGCTGCCGTCTCCTGGGCTCGCTGGTCTCACACCGTGAAACTGACCCGCCCAGGCGCAGGCTGAGCGAGAGCGACAACCTTCTCTGCCTACACCCACCTTGGGCCCCCCGCCTTGGGAGTCCGCCCCTCGAAAATCCACCCCGTGGGGGCACAGAGGAGTGGAGAGGGCGTGACTCCGTGGCAGCCGGGCTCCAAGGCGGGAAAGGGCAGCCACGTCCTTGGCCGGCCTCCCAGACCCCGGGCAGAGGAGCCGGCGTTTGGACGAGGGAGATTCGGGGGAAAGGTGAATGTGTGGGTACGCAGCAGCTGCTCACGGACTTGACGTTCTTCTCGCTTCCTTTCTCACAAAGATCCTCGCCCCTCCAGGTGTGGCTGTGGAAGTCACCGGCCTGTCTCAGGTCAACGCTGTCCTTACCCATGACGCCTGCGCCGGCTCCCAGCCACGCTCCCCTTCCCTGCTCCTGAAGGAGCGTAGTAACCGCCTCTCTTCCACCCTGACCTAGGGCTTGGTCATCGAGCGCCTGGGGCGGAGGCCCCTCCTCATCGGCGGCTTTGGGCTGATGACCCTCTTCTTCGGGACCCTCACGGTGACGCTGACGCTGCAGGTGAGAGCACGTGCCTGTCCCACCTGCGTGTGCGGAGGGGCCTTTGGCTCGGGAAGGCGGCGCTGTCTGCAGACACCTCTTTCCCTGTGGCTTCCCCAGGGGCCGCTCAGCGCTGAAGCTGCTGGGGAGGAGGGTTTAGTGAGGGGTCCTTGGACTAGGAGAAGAGAGACCCGCGGAGCTGTGTGAACGTGGGCAAGATGCACCCCCTCTCTAAGCCTCTGTGTACCCGTCTATGGAGTAGGAGAGACTACACTGGAGGAGCCCCCAGGGGCCTGGCTCTGCCCGGTGGGGCACTGGCACACTGGTCACCCACTGGCTGGTGGTGCCCCAGGGACTCTGGGGCCAGAGTGCCCGGGTGCGACTCCCAGCTGTCCCACTTCCTCCCATGAAACTTTCAGCACGTCACTCAACCTCTCTGCTCCTGGTGTCTATAGAGTAGGAGGCTGGACGCTTAGGGTCATCATCACCCAGACCTTCTGGATGCTAAGACAGGGGCTCAGAGACGTGAAGTGGCCTGTCCAGGGCCCCGCAGATGGGTGGAGGAGGAGCGGGGTGGGAACCCAGGTCCTCGGCGTGCCTGCCTGCTCACCTGCCCACTGCGCTCTCCGCAGGACCAGGCGCCCTGGATCCCCTACCTGAGCATTGTCTGCATCCTGGCCATCATCGCGTCCTTCTGCAGCGGCCCAGGTAAGGCGCCCGCCCGGCTGGCCCAGGGGCTCACGGCACCACCACGGTGGGCTTTTCATCGTACGGATGGAAGGCAGGGGCTCAGGAAGGGAGGGCCTGACGGGGAGAGGCGTCGGGGGAGAGTTCCTCAGCCACTTACGTTCAGTGCCTGCGTCTCCCTCCCACAGACGGCGGGCGACGTGCCCCCAGGACACGCCAGTGCTAATACACAGCAACACAGCCACAGCGGACGGCTGTGAGGGCCGTGAGCCAGACACACTAGTTCAGGATGAACCAAAGATGCTCACGTTGCCGTCTGTGCCCACCCACAGACTAGTTATGGTTTAGTGGGGAAGACGTAATGATGGTAATGGCTAAGATGTATCGATCACTCATGATGTGCTATACTTAGAGAAGGGGGAGATGGGAGGGAACATGCACAGAGCCCGCAGGATGGGGGTGCCTGGGCCCCAGACCCGAACCACCCCCTTGCACTACCTGCAAGAGTGGAGTCTGTGTTCTGAGCCTGTGTACCCAGGACTCAGGTCCAGCCCCGCTCTGTCATTGCCCTAGTGGGAGAGTCCTCTCCTGGGGCCTCAGTTTCCCCATCTGTGAAGTGGCCAGGGTGCCGAGACCGAGAGCCCTGCCCTGCCCTGGCTCTGTGCCGTGGCCCCGGCGGACCCGGCAGGTTCCGGGTGGGTGTGCACCTGCACAGATCTCCAGGGGGCGCTGCTGGGCCTCCTCTCCGCCTGGGTCTGTGTGCTGAAGAAGACAGCCCTGAGTTTCCAGCAGGCCTCTGTCCCCTTCACACTGCTGGTTTTCCACCAGGTCCCCCGGCCTCTCGTGCTGTGGGATGAGAAGCCTTGGTCCCCATCTGGGACATCAGGGTGTTACGATGAGATGGCAGGGTGGGCCATGGGATGATAGGGGAAGGCACTGGGCGCACACACATACGCACACGCACACGCACACGCACACTGTGCTGTGATGATGATGGTCAGATGGCTGGAGGAAGAAGGAGGCGGGAGGCCGAACAAGGAGCACCTGTCACATGCAGTTCAAGAAGGAGACACGTTTAGTCCCACAGGGCCTTCCGTCACCCACTCCACACAGCGTTCACCTCGGTGCCCCTGCAGGGTGGCTCGGTGGCCTTGTGCCGGCCTGGGAACCCTGGGGAGCAAGAGCCAGGCAGTGTCTGCTCTCACGGGCTTCCCGGCTGGTGTGGAAATCTCACCTGAAAAGTCACCTGCCCAGGGAGGCCTCTCCTGACGACTTATCTCAAATCAGTGCACACACATGCATACATACACACACACACACACACAAGCAAACATACACACACCCATTTATTCACCGCCTCCTAATTTACTTCCTTCATAGCACCTTTCACTGCCTCGTCTACTGTATTCCGTTTAATTTGTTTAGTACAGGGATGGCAAACTCTCCTGTAAAGGACCAAATAGTGTATATAACTATTGCTCACCCCTGTATCATCCATGGCTGGTGCTCCCCATAGGTGAGAGGCTTGGACCCAGGCTCCTTCCGCATTGTGGCTCCGCCAGCCCCCGGGGCCTCGTTGTCCACAGCATCCAACAGGCGGGAGGGGAAACAAACATGGAGGATGGTGCTTAAGAGCCTTGGCCAGGGAAACACCGCCTTGTCCACTCGTATTGCAGTGGTGAGCCCAGCGTCCGGCTGGACGGGCTGAGAAATGGAGGCCGCGGTGGACAGCCCCTGACCAGCACCAGCTCTGTACAGGGGAAGGTGGATCACAGACAGAGGGCGGCTGGCCTTCTGTGCTCTGAGCAGGCTCTGTGCTGAAACACCAGTTTGCCCTGAAGTGCCCAGCACGGGCCCGAGACCCAGGAGGTTTTCGGCAAGGACGTTTGGATGGTTTAATCACAACCAGAGAACTCAGAAGGGGCTTGACAGGCACTGTTACGGCTACAGGGCTTCTAAGAGGGAGACAAGGGAGGGCACCCCAAAAGTGATTTGGTTAAACCCAGAGGCGGTGGCTTACGTCTTCCCTCCCCCTCCTACTCGTTCCCCCATCCTTGCCATGCTCATGGTGGCATTCGGGCATCAACCTTCCCAATCACTGACTTTCATATGAACACATCGCCCCTGTTCTGCACCAGCTGACCAGTCCCGTTCACAAACGAGGGAACGGAAGCCCAGAGAGGTCACAAGGTCCCGGAACATGAAACAGCTAGTAAGTGTTGGAGCCGGGATTTGAACCCAGATCTTTAAAACCCCATGTTCTTTTTCACCCAGTGCAAAGAATAAGAATTCACATGCCTGCCCTGCTCTGAGCTTTGCCAACACACTCTCTGTCTCTCTCTCTCTCATCTCAGAGCTTTTACTCAGAATCAAACTTTACTAATAATTCACAGGACACCTGTCAGTGCAAGACACGGCGATGCCCCCGCACAGCTCCCCAGCCTCTTGCCGTGCGGTAGGGTGCACTCTGGTCCTGGTTGAACACGGGAGGTCTCTAAAGCACCAGGCAGGGAAGAAACTATTTTATTCATTTTATACTTTGATAATTACATAGCTGACAGAGACATTTTCCAGTGGGCTGTGCCTGGAGCTATACATCCTGATCGAAACAGACCAGGTAAAGTCTACTGGAAGCATTTTGTACATAAGGACTCTTAAGTCTGGAACAGCCACATGGAAGAGACACATAGGACAAGTTTGGGGGTGGCACAGAGCTTCCATGCACCCTCCAGGCGTGCCACCTTCTCCGCACCGCAACGTCTAACTCCCCCAACCCTGTGGCTTAGGGGGGGTTGTAGAGGGCTCATCACATAGGCATAATTAAGTCCATCCTTGGCCGTTGGTGATTAAACTCAACCTCCAGCCCCTTGCCCCTCCCTGGAGATAGGGGGCGGGGAGGAGGCTGGGATGAGAGTCCCAAACCTGTAAGCAAGGTCAGCCTTTCTCTGGAAACTGTCTCAGGGTCCCCTGTGAGTCACCTTGGTAGCATGCACTCAGGTGTGGTGGAAGGGGGCTCATTACAAATAATAAGGCATGCCTACTAACTTATACAATGTTTTTATTTGAGGAAAGGGCACATTTGTTAACTCACAGAAGTGTCATTAGTCTAGCAGTGGCCCTGGAGGTGGCCAGTTTAAAGAAAAAGGACATCTGGGTAGAGGACAGAAGTCGTGGGGCGCATCTAAAGACACAGCACAACCGGAGGAAAGGGTACGGGAGAAAAGGGGTTGTGGGGAAGGTCGAGATGGTATTGGTAGAAGTGCAGTCCTTGGGGTACCCCTGGAATAAGAACTTCCAGAAGCCCCACAGGAGGATGAGGTATTGTAGAAAGCTTTGTTTCTGTGGTCTCAAACCCCAAGGTCCCGATTCCCTTTGTCCCCCCAGGGAAGAAGTCCCGTTTTGCCTTCAGTGGGGCTGAGATCAAAGCCAGTGTTCAGTTTTCACTCCGTGTTGGGACAAGTCCAACCCAGCACCAGACTAGCTTCGTCTGTGCCCCCTGTTGCAGTCCATTAGTCTACTGGGTGTGGGGTCCTCCTGGTTATGAGCCACACACGTGAATGTAAGAGCCGAGAGAGAGAGGGTCTTTGTTTAGACAATTATGTATTCCCAAATTTTCGTGGGTTTGTAGTGGCCCCACCCCCTCTGGCCAATTCATGGTTCCCTGGACTAGAATGACAGACACGTACCTTCCCTGCCTCATTCTAGTTTTACTGTGCATGCGGCCATTCCCCCCTTTGTCCAGTCCTTTCCCCCAGTGATCTGCAGGGAGTGGCTAATGGTCCCCTGGGGAGTGTGAAATTGCAGCTTCCTGGTGAAGCTACCAAAATGACATGCTTATAATGCCTGGCCTTCCCCTGTGTACCTAGCGAATGACAACGGTATCAAAGATACAAGGAAAGCAGTGGCCGATCACCAACCGTGACCTTGGAGGCTGAAATAACTGGACTTTGTCCTCATGGAGGTCGGAAGCCATTACAGAATTTTAGGCTGGAATGTGACGTTTAAAAACTCTACAGGGCAGGGACTAATTTGGAGATAAAACATAAAAGATGGGAGAGGCTTAGAAAGCGTGACTTCAAGGCGATAATTAAGGCTTTTCTATTAGGGAGCTCTCACTGCCTAACAAATAACCCCAAAACCTAGTGGACTGAACAACGACCATGTATTATTGCTCCCAAGTCTCTTCGTCAACACGGTGTTACTGCTCTGTTGGCCGAGGCTCTGCTGATCTCAACTCATGTCTGCATTCGGCTGGGTGCCAGCTCGGCCAAGGTGGCCTCAACCACTGGGCTGTCATTGAGAGGGGTGATGTGGCCACATATCTCTCACCATGTAGCAGGCCACCCCAGAATTGTTTACGTGACAGTAGCAAAGTTACAAGAGAAGGGGTGTGCGGAAGCCCCTGAGGCCTAGGCTGGACACTCAGTCACTTTGCTTTGTTCTCTTGGCCCTAACAAATCACAAGTCCCGCCCAGAATGAGGGGGTGGGGGATGGGGAAAGAGACTTTACCTCTCATGGGAGGGGCCTCAAAGAACTGTGGCCATTTTATAATCCCCCCAGAAGCTGTAACCGGAATTAGCAAAGGAGCAACAATTACGGACTCATTTTAGAGAGGAATATATATCACTCATCATTTATTCACCCCTTTCACAAGTGATTACTGGGGGAAGGTATCATACAGTTATTCACGGACAATGATACAGGTCAGGCACCCTTCGAGGCCTGGAGATACCATGGTGAACACACACACACCCCGCATGGTCTCTGCCCTCAGGGGAGCTGTCTTAAGTAACCATTATGGTGCCAACTCTCAAGCTGCCGGGGGACGGCGCAACACAATGAATTAATTACAAGCAGACACAGTTTGGAGTGAGGGGGAGCATCGCAAGGGAGCAAATGCTCCCCATCCCTGGATGTAGCCCAATTTATTCCCTTAGCAGTTCCCCGGGTCACGTGGTGGTTTTGGTAGTGAAGTCCTTTCAGCCCAGCCCAGCATGCTTCCTGTTCCAGCTGCCCGTCG